CGATGGGTAACACACTCTTTAAAAAAGGACTAGTCGTGACGAGTAAAAACGACGCTTCGGTCTAGTCCTGACTACTATTGAAGACGTTTCAGACTAGTCAAAGTCGTGTGACATCGACTGGTTTCTGATTGTTTACTGGATGAACGGGAATCAATTTTGTATTTTAGACTGTATAAACGGACGTCAGTTCATTTCAGTGTCCTAGTCTCCCGTCAGGATGCCCGTCAGGTTTCGAATACTGTCGGGTTGAGTGTTCGAATCCACCTTGCATCTTCTTTTTTTAGTTCTCCTACTAGTCTGGACGGGGTCAACGGACAAAACGGACTAGACATGACTGGATTCAAGGACACTCTGGACTAGTCCAGACGAGTTTGAAGAACATTTCTCCAAAAGGTGACTAGTCATGACGGGTGTGCAGGACGTTTAAGACTAGACTTGACGGGTGCTGTGGACACTTTGGACTAGTCATGTCGGGCGTCTTCTTTTATTTTTTGCTCACTTGGGATGTTTCTCTATTTTGAGAGGATAAAAATAACTTATGATTCAGCTTTTTACGATTTGTAGGAAGAAGAAAAAGATGTTTTTTTTTTCCAACGTATGAATCATTTGTAGAGTTAATATAAAAGAACGCAACTTTTGTTCCTTTTCATTATTTTTGCACACAACGAAGATATCATTGGATACGTCGTTGTAAGTATTTATGTCTTGTTGTAGAAAACAAATGTATACGATAGGTAACTAAAGAATTATGTATTTCTTCTGGTGGCATTAATTTGTTTTCTCACAAACTTGAAGCTAGTGATAAGCTGGTCTGAATTCCGTTGATATTATAGTCCTAAAGGATGATATTTTTCTCGAGTCATAATCCATTTGTCCGGTCCAAGAACTTTTCAATACCATGAATCTCGTTTATCTTCTTGACTGAAAACAGCATATAGATATTTTTGTATTAGAGCCTCTTAGAACAATTGTTTTTCGAGGCCCAAATGTATTTGTCGTATATCGTTTTATTCTCAATGTGTCCGGATTCAGAATGTCTCAGAAGATCGAAGAACGATGATTTTCCAGTACTTAGAACTGTTCCGTACAACTGTTTGTGATCATTAAGTATTTGTCGCCTTTTAGATTTAAATCAATACCACTTAGTTGTTTATCACACTTAACAATAGTAATCTACTGTAAAATTCTGGTGATATCGAATTGATTATAATTTGAAATCTATAAAGTAAATATTGTTTTTATGATATACACCCGTGGGCAAAAGTCTTTTCTCTCATCTCTTTTCTTGGCAAGGTTTTCTCTGCTATTATAAGGACAAAACATGGTGTTGTTCAGGCCATATAAAAGAGGATCCCTAATAACCCTTAATCGGCCCGAACAACACCATGTTTTGTCCTTATAATAGCAGAGAAAACTTTGCCAAGAAAAGAGATGGGGGGAAAGACTTTTGCCCACGGGTGTAGTATGTATTACAGTGTGTAGTATTTTGACTATAACATCGTCATTA